ACTTGGTTGACAAATTCAGTTCCTCTGTCTGATCTGATTGTCTTCACTTTCAAATTCTTCTCAGTCTGAAGTTGCTTAAACAGAGATGGCAACTTCTGAAGAGTTTCATTTTTCTTTGATAGAAAAATAGTCCATGTATATCTGGAGTAGTCATCAACCATGACTAGGGTATATTTCTTGCCACCAACGCTTGGAGTCTCAACAAGTCCAAATAAATCCATGTGAATCAGATTTAGAGGGCTTGTAGAAAGATCTCCAGCAATGGGTTTGAAGGAATTCTTCACTTGTTTGCCTTTCTGACATGCACTGCAGAGGGTCTCCTTCTTGTACACAATGTCTGGTAGCCCTTCTACAATGTGTTCTCTGGCCAGTTTGTTGATTGTTTTGAAATTCAAATGGTTGAGCTTTTTGTGCCAGTCCCAGCTCAGTTTTGAATCTCCTTTGGCTATCAGGCAAACTCCATCTTTTGCAGTGTTCCAATCAACGACATAGATGTTCTTCTTCCTTGATGCTGTAAGAACCACTTCCTTTGTTGTCTCATGCTTCACATAGCAGAAGTCCTTTGTGAATTCAACAGTGTAGCCTTTGTCACAGAATTGGCTAGCACTTAGCAAGTTGAACTTCAGTCCTTTGACATATGAGACATCATCAATGACTATCTGGTTCCTGATCAGCTTTCCTCTTCCTTTTGTTTGACCTTCTTTGTCATTACCTCCAAAGGTAACTCTAGGTCCTTTGCATTTCTGGAACTCAGTTAGACAACTTCTGTCACCTGTCATGTGCCTGGAGCATCCACTATCAATAAACCACTCTTGTTCAGAGATGGCTCCAGCACACAGTTCCTGCAAGATCAAAAGAAAGATTTAGGTACCCAAGCAATGCTGGGTCCTGGGGGGTCATGGAGTCTGGGTAGTTGGTACCATTTTGGTCTCATCAAGTGAAACCTTGGTGGGTGGTACCCATTGTCCACCTGGTAGTTGTAGTAAACTGAAGTGTGATTCACTTTGGGCAGATGCTTGTGAGGGTCATGCTTCCTGTTTACATACTTTTGCATAGCCTTTTTTGTTGGAAAGAAGTCCCATATACTATCAAGAGCAGAGGGACGGTTAACCTTGGGCTTCTGAAGTTGACCAGCCAACCTCTTCTGCCTGAAGTTAACTCTCTCTTGATATTTGCCCTTCTGGTGATCATTTCTGGCACGATTGACATGAGGTTGTCTGTCAATGAATGGTCTTTTATTTTTTTTATCTTGAAAACCTTTTCTGTTGTTAGGTTTTCTGCCAGGTTCATTATTTTTGAAAAAGGGTTTCTGTTGAACCTTTATCTTTCCCTTTTCTGGTCTGACTTCCTCATGAACAACCTTGGTGCCAGATACACCAGCTTGACAGATGGGGCTAGAAATCAGTGGCTCTATGACCTTATCTGCCTTAGCAACTCTGGTGCTAGGCATTACAGAAGGCTCACCTGATTCTGTTGAGCCATAACCAAGACCAAAACCAGTGCCAATCTGTTGATCAAGCACAATCTTTTCCATGGAAGACTGGGCCTTCTGGTAAGCTTTGTACTTAATCTCGAGAGGCTCTATTTCTCTTATTCTCTTGAGAAGAGAAACATTTTCAGTCTCCAGTTGATCTCTTTCCTTAATTAGAAGATTGATTTTGATCTCAACCTCCTTGTTTAAGTCAAGAATTTCAGCTTTCAACTTACTGTTTTCTTCTGTTACAGAAGAATAAGTGGCTTGTATGGCCTTAAACTCTTCCCAAAATTCTGACATTGAATCAGAATCAAAAGCTAAGCCTACCGAAGAAAAACTAGATTCAGAAGTAGAGGTTACCTCATCATCAGAATGAGCCATGAGGCAAAGGTCTTCTGTCTCAGTATCAAGGCAACAGAAGGCCTCATCAGAATCTGAGTCAGAACTGGATTCTGTTTCTGACAGAGGGTCTTTCTCTAGATGTTCTGTCACAAGTGCCTTTCTCCTTCTGGAGTTGTCCTCGTACTTCTTCTTTTCTCCATCCTGTCCTTGCTTCTTGGACACTCTAGGATGGGGACAATCAGCCTTGAAGTGACCAGGTTGTCTGCAATTGTAACAGAGAAGCTCTCCACTGCTTTCTGTTGTTTTGACCTTCTGGTATGGCTTTCTGTTGAAAGATGGACTCCTTCCATCTTTGGGATTCTTCATAAACTTTTTGAATCTCCTGGCAAAGGCAGCCATATATTCATCAGATAAAAGTACTGAAGGGTCAAAATCATTTACCTTAGATGTGCTGGCAGTGAGGGCTGTAGTGGTCCTCTCTTCTGGTACATCTTCCTTCTCTTCAATCATTTCAAACTCATGAGCTTTGAGATCTGAAATGAGCTTATCAGTGGGATAAGTCTTTACATCCTTGCTGGCTTGGACAGCAACTTCCTTCATTTTCCATGCTGAGGGCAATCCCCTCAACACCTTCAGGTTGATTTCTTTGGTGGTGAGTTCCTTGCCAAGCTCAGAGATCTCTCCAGTGAGAGTGAGGAGCCTGTCATACATCTTGGAGATGCTTTCACCAGGGAGAAGTTTGAAGTCATCAAACTTCTTGTTGGCTATGGTTAGTTTGTTGTCTTTCTCTTGCTCATCACCAGCTCCAATGAGCTCAAGAGTATCCCAGATTTCCTTAGCAGTCTTGCACTTCTTGATTCTGTTGAAGTACCTATCATCAATGGACTTGTAGAGGATGTCCTTAGCAATATTGTCTAGGTTGTACTTTCTCCTCTCTTCAGTGGTCCATTCTGACTTGGCTTTACTGATCATCTGGGGTCTGGTGTTATCAATGGCATGCTCAGGATTGACCTTCTGGAAGTTTGTGAAAGGGTCAATATCTAGAACTTCCCACATCTCATCATGTAGAGCACAGAGATGTGATTTCATCCGGATCCTCCAGTCATCAAACTTAAGATCTGAAAACATAAGATTCTTGGACAGGGAGTGATCCATTATATCAGATAGAAATGAGGTAAAACAGAAAAACAAGTGGATCTTTGTTCAACAAATAACCTAAGAGATTATTAGAACAAGGAGGCTCTGATACCACTTGTTGGTCCCGGTTATACTGGATACAGTCTAGAGGGGGGGTGAATAGACTGTATTGGTTTTTAGCTTTTTAAACTAAGTACCAGATTTACAGAATAGCCTGTTCTGTTGAAAGAACAGACTGGCAGCGGATGGGGTTCTGGTAGGGAGTTCTGTTAGCCTCAGAGAAGCAAAGGCAGTAGGCCTTCTGTTAACTCGTAGAACAAGTTCTGCTGAACACAGATACCAAGTCCAAGGAGTTAGACAGTTCTATCTAAGTGCAAGTATTAAAGCAGTAAGTAAACGACACCAGGGATTTTTATAGTGGTTCAAGGAACAACTTGTTCCTCTAGTCCACTGTTCCACTAAGCTGTAAAAATTTCCGTTTACAAAGCCTTAGTCCTAGCACTTAAGAAGCTCTCCACGTCTTCTTCAAGTCTAGATGTCTCCTGGGATGCACTGTCTGGCTTCCTTTAAGACTGGTCCTTTCACTGAGCTTCCTGGAAGTATCACCACTTCACTACTCCAGTTACTTGGACGTCCTTCTTGTAGCAAGAAGAGTTTCTGTTGAAACAGGGGTTCCTCCAACTAGCTTCGTTACAAAAGATTTGTATGTGATGAGCTTGAAGAGTTGAAGAACACTTGGAACTTTGCTTGAGTTGGAAAAAGTATTTTTCCAACTTCTGCCTTCTCTTGTAGAAGATAATGAGTTTGAATCTCAAGGAGGCTTTTTGCTTTTCAGAATTTTAATATCTTGTATGAAGAGTTGTAGCAATGTGTAGCAAAAGTTGCAAAGTTATCCGGCTGTTCTTCGTAGTGCATCTTTTATACTGAGGTTGTCTTCCCGTTGGAGGGGTAGGAGGACAACTGCATTTAATGCGCGAGCAGTTGACTTGACCAGTAGGACCCGGTAAAATTGGCGGGTTACTATTTTGGGATAAAGTAATCCTGACATTGCGGCCAATCATCTGCAATTACTCCACGGAGCATGGGGAGCATTAAATGAGCATTTAATGCGAGCACTGTAGCTTTTCTGTTTCATACTCCTAGCCGTTGAGGGAATCTTTTAGTTGACTTCCCGGCTTTGTGGATTTCTTCCAAGTGTCAGACCTTCTGGTGTCTTTGGCAGAGAACTGATCAGAGAAGATCTTGAGCACTTCTGTTGATAGTAGCTTACAGAGAACCAAGAGGGTTTCTGTCAAGCTAAAGAGTAATAGAGACCCTGAGGTTTTCTGTTCCTTTACAGAGAACCAAAATCTTCTGTCCGAAGGTCTTCTGGTAGAGAGGCCTTCTGGTAGTCGATTATGCTAAGAACTTTACAAGGGAAAATTCTAATACATAATTTCTAAAGGGGGTACTCTAAAGTCTTAATTAATATAGCATCATCAAAATCTAAACACAATTATTCCTTACACTTTCTCATTCCAATTTTATTTCTCCCAAAATCTAAACAATATACCTCTAAAATCTTTTCCTCCCCTTCTCTCCAAACTCTCAAACACACCCTTAGGGATGGATGAACAAACCACTAATATCATTCCATAATTACACATTTTTTAGTCACACTTTTTTTTATTATTTCGCATATTTAGTATAAGGATGTTTTTATTTGGACTGTAATTCTTCCCAGATCAGACCAGATCAGATCAGACCAGATCAGACCAGTTCAGACTAGACCAGACCAGACTTGGATAGTTATAAAAATACAAAGAAACCAGACCAGTACAGACCAGACCAGACTAGACCAGACCAGATCAGACCAGACCACCAAATTACGATCAACTAAAAACATCCTAGGAATTCATTAAAGGCTTGGATAATGTCATATGTCCAGCCATAGTATCTTTATATGTAAAGGTTATTAATTTTTATCTATAATATCATACGGAGTAAAAAATACAATTTTCTTAAACTTTTCTTCTTTATAAAATCTATTTATTTTCTTTAATCTATTGATTGGTGAAAACGTTAGCCGGTCCCTCGCTCTACGTTATCACTCCTCGCTGCCGCTGTTTGCCTATTCGGTGGCAGTCCCCGTGATTTACGGCGGCGGTGCAAATCCATCTTATCCTGCACCGTCTCCTTGGCCAATCGGTACCGGCGGTATCCGCATCGATAACCGCCGCCCACCTCTTTCTCTCTAACAAGGATCTCCACAGTCAACGCTTATTAGGAGCTCAGACACACTCCAGAATTTCTCGAACTTGTGGTGCGTTAATGGTTTTTTTCATTCTTTATGATCCTGTTTGGTACAGCATATCTGCAAATCTATGGCGTTTTTTCAAACATCTTCCAGATCATCAAGATATTTTGTGATTGTGAAAATGCAAACCGAAAAAGCTGCTGAAAACAATGTCATTATGCACGTTATTATTTCCCTGAATTCTGAGTTTATGTCTTCCTTAAACTACTCAAATACTCCATGGTACATCCAGAGATTCTAGAAATTGGTTTGCTGATATATCCTTTCGATCTGCATTATTCCAACACTTTAAAAGAACAGAACGTGCGTAGGCAACCAATTTTTCTGCTAACTAAATTTCCTGGGTTATAAAAAATTTACTTGTAATGGTAATTAAATTTCCACCTTTCATTTTGAAAATTTAATTTTCCTGCGTAATAGTTGAAATTAAATTATACTCCGTAATTGATTCCTACTTCCGCTCAAAGTGAAGGCTAGAATGTGTTTGTGTTCCTCAGGGATCTAATTCCACCCAACCGTTATTTTTGGTTTGTGCAGAAAAGTTCCAAATGGGATAACATTGTTAGTTGTACTTGTTTTTGTTTTTACAGGATTTAAAAGTTCATCAGGGTTTCAATTTAATTTTATTGAGCTGGTATCATGGGTGCTGAAAGTGTGAATGAATCATGGTTTAGAAACTTCTGGAGAACTTCAAGGAAGAGCTCAGTATCAGACCCTGAGAAGTCCATAGTCGGCATTCTAGCATTCGAAGTATCAGTAATGATGTCTAAGGTTATTAACTTGTGGCACTTAATAGGTGACAGATCGATCGAGAGATTAAGAGAAGAAATTACAACTTCACTGGGTATTCAAAAACTAGTCTCTGAAGATGATGATTATCTCATGAATCTTGCACTGGCTGAGGTAATTAGCAATGTAGGGTGCGTAGCAAAATCAATAGCTAGGCTGGGAAAGAGGTGTACACACCCAGCATATCATAATCTTGAAAACATACTCGATGATCCAATCGTGATGGATCTTAAATTTAGTGGGTGGGAATATAGGGTGAAGAAGATGGATAGGAAGGTCAAGAAAATGGAAAGGTTTATTGGCGCCACAATGCAGTTGACTCAAGAACTTGAAGTACTTGCAGAGAATGAGCAAACTTTGAGACGGATGCAGGCTGGTGGTCCCAATTCCAATTCTGGTCAAGTGAAATTAATCGAGTTTCAGCAGAAGGTTATTTGGCAGCGCCTGGAAGTTAAGAATTTGCAAGAAATGTCACCTTGGGTTAGATCGCACGACTACATTGTCCGGCTTCTACTTCGATCCATTTTCACAATTATTATGAGAATCAAGTCTGTTTTTGGGATAGAACATAACACAGGAGTTACATCTACTAAAACTGAAGAAAGAAGTCACTGTGAGGATTTGAGGACCAACTCTCTAACCCGCAGCCGCTCTGTCTCTGGTTCTATTTATCCATCTGAAAATAATATGTCTGGGCTCTATTCGGGACCTGTAGTTAGGTCACTGGAGAGGTCACTTTCAAGTAAGGGGCATAGTAGTGTCAATAAAAACAAGATAAATAACCAAAAGATATTACTTATCAGACAGTCATCGGTTCTCTGCGGGAAACCGTCGCTGGTCAAAGCAAGACGGCTTGCTCCTGTTGCATCTTTTGGAGGGTGCATCAAGGCTGCTGGTAACGATTCACCTGTTATAGAAAGCTGCATGCCAATAAATGATCACCTTTTGGATTGTCGCCATGAATCAAAAGACAGAAACGCCCTTCTTAGGGGTGTCATAAGGGGAACTAAAGTTTCTTTTTTCAATATGAAACATAAGAAGATGTTAGCTGTACCCCCATCAACTCTTGGTTATGCAGCCTTAGCTCTCCACTACGCAAATATTATCATAGTTATTGAGAAGTTGGCGGCTTCGCCTCACTTGATCAGTCCTGATGCTAGAGATGACCTGTATGGTATGTTACCAACTAGTATAAGAAACTCACTGAGGGCCAGGTTGAAGATATTCTCAAAGACATTGGCTTCATCTGTTTATAATCCTTCACTAGCAGGAGGATGGGCTACAGCGGTTGGAAAAATAATAGAATGGTTATCTCCACTTGCTCATAGCACAGTGAGATGGCATTCTGAGAGAAACTTTGAGAAGCAACCAACAATTTCTGGGAGTAATGTGCTTCTTGTCCAGACCCTCTACTTCGCAAACCAAGCTAAGACCGAAGCAGCAATTGTTGAACTTCTGATGGGTCTCAATTACCTTTCGCGATTCGGTGAGGAAATATATTGCAGAAACAAAGCCATGGAGTCTTCTTGTGGTAGGGATTGTGATGACTATTTTCTTCACCAGGGCATTTCTCATTGTGCAATAAATATTGGGCCATAAAAGACTGCCTTATAAATGATGTCCGAATGATCTGTAGCTGGCAGATTGAATGCTCATATCAGGGTGAGGAATTGAGGATGCACAGTGTTGTACTTATAACACATACCTATACCTGGGAAGAGAAGCTACTTCATATATTTTTTTTGTAACATTCACCTGTAAAGCCATGCAGTCTTCTATCTTATTTATAAACTGCCTTTTTTGTAAAAGTTTCTTTAGAAAGCAGTACTAGAATTATCTCCTTTTATAAAATGCATAAGAAATTATAAGAATACGTTACTCATCTTTAATACTCCAACCTTTTTACGATTTGATGTTGGCCCGAGGCACTCTTTGGCTTCATTCTCACTCCACTGATGCGCTATTTATTTTCAGTTATTATCATCATGATTCTACTACTATTCTTCTTCTTCTTATTATTATTATTATTATTATTATTATTATTATTATTATTATTATTATTATTTCATATTCCATATCTTATTCATCTCTGTATCACATGAACAGTCTTATATACACCCCCTGTTCTACAGTTTTCTCCCCACTTGTGGTTTAGACAGTGAAGTTGTACGATTGTAGTTGATTCAAACGGGTTAAACGGATGGGACATTGTAGTGAAGTAAACAAATGTGATCCAACCACATAAATCTTTCATTAAAAGAAACGGAAAAAAAAAATTGGAACATAGTCAACATACTACGAAAAAATGTGATGGAACAGGTGGGCGTAGTGGTAGCAAGGGAGTGCCACAAGGGTTAGGTCCCGAGTTCGAATCCCGACAACTGCGATGAGAGGTTACTATGCTAAAAATGCATATGGTTTCTGCAAGTATCGGGGACAGAGTCTCACTCTCTATCTGTCAGATTGGGATTATAGTCCAATTTACATTCTCCCAACGTACCGTCCGGTCAGGGTTGGGGGCCCTCATGGATGGGGTGTTATCCTTAAAAAATGTGATGGAAATTATGGGACATGGTCATATGGATAATACTCCGTATTATTTAACAGCGCCTTTATGTCCTTTATAAATTATGAAATACTAGGTACTTCGTTTTTATTGTCTGGAGATGAAAACTGCCTTTTTCTATTAGTGATGTCTAAAATCCAATATGCATCTGAACAAGGCATGTTCGGCATACACCATATGTGCATATGCCTAAGGGCATTAATTTCCATAGTATGTCATTAACATTCCGCGTTTGCCTAATAAAGTACTTCGCGTATAAATAATTAAATAAAGTATTTCAATTACATTTTGATAAATAATTTTAATAGGTATATATTATAATGTAGTTAGTATTGATAATTGTGATGTTATTATAAATGTATTATTTTTAATATTTAATGATTAATTTATCACTTAAGGTTATTAATTGTTTCCTAAAATGGAAATAAGAACTGTACGTCCAAAAAAAAAGTAAGAACCTTCTAATGGAACGGAGGGAATACATTTTTGTAAGCCACCAGCGTGCCACATCTTCTGTGGAGGAATATTCCTAGAAAGTTCATTCCCAAGAATCCTTTTACATCTCTTGGCTACTACCTACATTCTTGTTCACTTCCAGCATTGCCAATTTGCCATCAAGTCTCCTTCTTTGCCACTGAAACCTCATTTTGAATTGTCCAAATTTCAATCATTTGCTTATACTAGTATGTGTTTTCTAAAAAAAGGATGACACTCCATCCCTGAGGTGTAAATTAGACTATAATCTGAATCTGACAGATAGAGAGCGGAGCTCTGTCCCCGGTACTTGCAGAGACCCTATGCATTTAGTATAGTAACCCCTCATCGCAGTTGCCGGGATTTGAACTCTGGACCTAACCCTTGTGTCACTCCCTTGCTGCCAGTTGAGCTACGTCCACCAGTGTTATATGTGTTTCTTTTCTTCACCTTTTGGAGCTTTGGCACAATTTCTTCATTAAAGATCACAACAACATTAACTGTATTTGGTTAACATTAGGGCCAATTTTGAGAATATCCTGAAATAGTTCATAAAGAATTTCAATGTCAATCAATAAGTAATAGATACTTTAAGCAAACTCATATATACAAGTCTAAAGGATCAAACTGCTAAACAATGGCAGAAGACTCATGAGTCATCACTAGTTTTAAAGTATGAGTACGTATTAGACCGAAGTTTAAAAATTTGACTCAATTAAAGTATTTCATTTGAGTCCATTTTTATCTCTTTGAAAAGATAAATTTAAGTGTTTAAACTCTTTTAGACTATATTTACCAAATTTTGAAGATCGGACGGTATTAGATAGAAATTTTAAAATTATACCATGTAACTCGATAGAGTTCAGGTGTTTGATTTGAGATCATATCTAGCTATAGAGTATTCCATTTGAGACTATTTTTATCATGTTGGAAAAATAAATTGAATTTATATAACTCTTGTTGAGACTTTATTGATCAAATTTTAAAGTATGGATATGTATTTGATCGAGTTTTTAAAAACTTTACTTTGTTGACTTGATACAAGTAAAGCTCTATACTGTATCTACTTGTTAAGAATTCTGTTTTTATCTCATTAAGATAATCACAACTTCAACACTCACTCAAATAATAATTATTAATACAATCAACAAAAACTATAAATAACTTATAGTGTGAAAAATATAGAAAAGAAAAGCCAACACACAATGAGAAACTAAATTCAATCAAGATTATAATTGAAATGAAAGAAATATTGAAAATATAAATGGGGACATTTTCTTTATTATGTAAAGGATATAGCAATAGTATCTTAACTGAAAAATAAGAAACTAATCATAGAACTGCATATTGTCCGGTGTCCAAAAGATGGTGAACAACTGAACATTAGTTTCATACTTTCATGTCACTGTCTAAGTTAAGAAAACATGGCAAGGATAAGGGTAGGATAGGAAGAATCACTTATGTTTTGAAAATTTAGATGGTGTTTAGATCTACTTAAAATTGCTTTTGCTCCTTCTGTGAGCAAAAACAAGTATCAGAGTGTCTAGGTGAAAGTGATTGCTCCTAGAAACATTTTTTTGCAAACTAATTCTTCTAGTTCCTCTAGTTTCTGAAAAATTGATTCTGATTATGCTTTTAAAAATAAACAAAAGCAGAATCCATTCCAAACACTCTCTTAAAATACTCCTAATCTTACAATTTAACTTTTATTTACTCCTATTTAGAGAATTACCTTTTGGAGCATAATTTACTTCTATTTACTTCTATTTAACCTTTTAACCTTTTGCTGTAAAATTATACTTCTATTTACTTTTTTCTTCCCTTTCTTGTCCATCTTCTCTGTTTGGCATCTATATCATAGATCGATTCATGTTAGCCGACCTCAAATTCTTTTGGGATCAAGACTTGGATGTTGTTGTTGTAGAGAATTACCCATATTACCCATATACAGAGTATATAATATATTTATTTTATGACACGCTTGAAGTAACAGGCGGGATTTCGGTTTGGGCTTAGATTCTATCTCTCTATATGTATAAATATAAGGTTAAATTATATAGAGTACTACGTATGTCTATGTATTATATACAACATGTCAACATACTTACTACGTATATGTATGTATGTATGTATCACACGCAATTTCAAATAATTTTATACGTAGTAATGGTAGAACTAGGCCACTGGGGTAGTGGGGTTAGGGTCCTCTTTTTTTTTTGAGTTTTCTACTTGTGAAAACATTACATTGCTTCACCAAGTACATTAATACTACGAAGTACCAGTACTATATTGACTAATTACGCTAATGAATGCTCCGTGCTCCCGGAAGCTGGAGCACTAAAGCTTTTCCAGGAGAAAACAGTATTTTCCATACTACGACCAATAGACATATGAAATATGAATGGTATGATCCAGGCACCCTTCATCTCCGCCTTGTTTTCTCAAAAATGTGGACGGCTAGTACATGCCATAGATTCTCGATGATCCCGTGAGATAGAGCTTGATAAGCTTGTTTTGCTGCAACACGGTGCGCTTCAAGAATCGTATCATCATCAAGGAGCTCTCTGAGAGCTTCTACAAGGCCATCTCCAGAAATCTACAAAATAAATAGTATTATTATTACAGCTATATGTCAACCTGACAAAATATTCAGAAAATCCAAAATGATTCAATAGCATGCTTGAAGAAGCAGATCATAGTACAGAGAGATAACAAGAGGATTAAAAACCTGCCGAACTGATAAAGGATTAAGCTGTTGCATTTCCTTTGCCATGTTTAAGAAGTGCCCAATGTAAGGGCCTGTTGCATCATGAGTAAGAAAATAAATAAGATATTCATTTAAAAGTTAAAACTTAAAACACGTTAAATAATATCATGTACAAAATGACATTACTCGAGTTAGCTTGTAAATACACCTGAAGATACCTGTCAGAGTAGCACATCCTGCTGCTGCTGCTTCTGAAATGTTATGACCAGTCAAACCAGGTATAAAAGAACCCCCAACTACAGCTATTGGGGTTAGTGTGTAGAACATTCTGAGTTCACCTGAAGATCACAATAACAAAACACATATTAATAATATTGCAGATTATTGTGAAGTCAACTGAGCTTCTTGAAATTTAAAAGCAAAAATGTGACAGATTATCTTTTCAAAACATGCTTGTATAGATATGCCAAACGGTAGTGACTTAACAATTGAGCCATTGAAATCTGAAGGTCAAATTATTATGTCATATTTATTGATATAAAATGGCCATTGCCAGTGCACAGAATTTGGGATGGTCCCGTTGCACATTTGAACACGTGATCAAGCAGGTTACAAGTATGGACTTGGCTATTGTGTAACCCGGTATCAATGTTAATTCTTGATATTTTAAAGAAAAATCCTAATAAATATACACAAATATCAGAACAAAAGAAGGAAAAATGAGACTAATTATTTTCCTGAAAGGAGGTGAGAACGTATGAGACTTGAAGATTGCATAACCAAAGTTATTAAGGTTAAATATCATTACATACCTAAAGTGTCAACCAAGTAGATGTTTGTTTCTGGCATAATTTTATCATTACGGGACCTTAATGCTACACTCAAGTGTTCTTTCTGCAACCCCTGCATGATTTCAAGGAGGAAATATCAAATCTTATTCTTCAAGTCAACAATAAATGAGCCAAATCAAGAGATGCCACAGCAAATAAGTTTATTGTATGTCAGAATAAATAAATATAGTTATAAAAGATGCTTTAATAAAGCCCTTCCATATCAACTCCGAAAAATCAATTCAACCGCTAAACAATGACAGAAGAATCGTCGCCTGTTTTATGCACACAAGCATGTAAGTTTAAATATACATATTCTCATCAAGAACCAACTCTACATGCATCACATTAAAATCATACCAAAGAAATTTCTTTCCCATGCTGTGGATGCCGAGGCACAATGATAGTAAATATATCAGGATATACTTGCTTTAGCTCTTTGTGGACTTCTATCATGACTGCATATAAACAATGCCAGGATTTCAAACATCACTAAGCATAGTTAGTTAGTTATTTATTATGATGAAACTGCACAAAATTAAGATAAGATATAGCATAAAACATCATATTACTCCCTCCGTCCCGAATTGAATTGCAAACTTTGACTGGCACTAGGATTAAGGAGTAACAAGAAATGATGCTTGCTTTTTACACTTTTGCCCATCTTCCCAAAAGTAGATGTCTTTAAGTTAATAGAAAAAAGTAAAACTAAGGGTAAATTTGTCACTTTATTCTTATTTACATACCTAAAATAGAAAGTGGAAAATCATTTTGGGACAACCAAAATACGAAATTTTGCAAATCAAATTAGGACGGAGGGAGTATTACTTTACTGTGTAAAAGAACATTCTTATCTTGGTTGTCATGAATTTTAATTTTTTTTAATTTTAAAATATTACTTAATTTTATTAAACTAATACACTTTTGTGAAGAAATATTAACAAAAAATTAGCAATGAAATTAATAAAAAATTATATAGATAAAATCCTAGAGAATTTTAGGTCCTAGGTTGATAGTTTTCAATCATTCGGACCCTATACCAATACATTTCATCTTTCAGGTTCCGAATTGATAATTCATCTATCTTTCAGGTCCTGGATTGAATATATAAAGCACTCAGGCCTTGCCATCTCCCAGAAAATGTAGTTCATAATGCGAGATTAAAAAACAGCTATTGGTTCCACACGTATAATACTCTATAATACCTTCTTCTTCACCTTTGTGAATGGACGAAGCCAGCCACATCTTTCGCTCAGCAAGCTGTAGCTTCAAATCATCCAACACACTATAGTGTCTTTCAACAGTTTCAAAGTTCTCTACAGCTACAGCGCACATAATCCATTATTTAGTACCTCCTCCATTGCAAAATACGGAGTATATGAGAGTAAAAGACATCTTTGTAGCACAACTTTCAATGAAAACATATAAGATGTGACGCTTTTCCCTAACTTATGAAAGTATTCTTCGAAGTTCAAAAAGAGGACACAATATTTTCAGTTTAACAACTTTAAAAGGAAGCAAGGGAAGTAAAAAATTGGCAGTGTTTAAATTAAGAGAGACATTATTTTAGAATGGACTAAAAAGGAAATTGTAGAACAATAAAAAGATACCTCTATGTGACTTTTGACTTGCAACTCACAACTCATGTCTTAAGCCTACTATAATGTGTATTTATAGAAACAATGGACATAAGCACAACAGGAATCAGAAGCCCTAATTTTTCTAAAACTAGGATGTTACTATCAAGAATGCAAGTGAAGAGTCTGGGCTCGTGGCAAAGGGGCTGATCCAAATGCACAAACTGAGCTAGTTGATGAAGAATTGAGCCATCTGTAATGTTTTTCTAAAAGAAGTGTGAACTATGACTAACTTCATGCATCACAAAAAAACATGATGGTTCTAAAACTTGGAGTAACTATTTCTCTATACTTTAACAAGTTGGATAATAAGATGGGAGAGTGAAAATATATGTTGGTGTAAATCCTCATGTTACCGATCAATTCTTTGGTCGCACATATAAACGCAGAGGACAAAGGGGAGCAGAGACAGTTGGCAATCAAAGTGGCTAAGGAAAAGATCAAGCAAGCCGTGAGAGTCATATTAGTATTAGTATTAATTAAGTAGTCCTGCTTTAATTAGTATTCCTTTATTAGAGTTCTGTTAGAATAAGCAACTTAGTTTCCTAATTGTTTTAGGAAACCCTTAATATCTATTTAAGGGGATCCCAGTAATTTTAATAAACAGCTTTTGGTTAATTAATTATGAGATCTCTTGACTAGGTCGGAGACCAGTAATTATACGACTAAGCATCTAGTTTTCGTTCTATCTATTCCCAGTCCGTTAAAATAGCTTCAAGTACTTCATCGCATACCTGTGGCCATTCTCGTTCACGTCCTTGGACGAGGTCGCTAACCCACGCACTTAACACCTCATTTGTAAAAATTCAAAGCTGATTCTTCTATAAAGCCGAACTCAGATGAAGGACTTAACAGTTGCCAGCACATTTTTCCACATGTTATTTAAGGAATGCATAAAAAATTAAGCTCGGCACACACGGTTCACACTCTTGGTCATAAGACTAACCCCAACCTTCAAGACTATTAGTGATTTACTATTTTATTTTTGAAAATTACCAGGGTGACCCTTGATCTACTATGCACTTAAAGTAACCCCGATGTAAGTTAAAATAACCATGTAATCTCATGAGGTAACCCTTTGGTCACTTTGATAAAGGTTTAAAATCTAAGGGTTACCTTTGATAAGTTCCCTTTTTTTTGCAACAAGTATGAATCAATATACTGGGCAATTGGGCATACCATACTTTAGATCACCACAAAATTTAATGATAAAAGGTGAAGCCTGCAGCAGCTGAAAATAGATTCCTTGTGCGGTGCTCTATGGAAGCAATATATAAATGTCAGTATCAATAGGACAGCAAAATATAACATCACTATGAAGGATACAGTGTATACAAATACTTGCCAATGGGACAATAAGTGAAAATTTTGACAGCAATAATGATGTCAAGGGAAGTATGGCTGGAAGAGACCACATTTGATAAGACTTTCTAGACATCCTAGCATTAAGCAATGTCAATGCCATCTGAGAAGCACCATTGATGACTGTAAATATAGGTAACACAATATTTAAATGTACATATATACACATGGTCTGCACTCTGCAATAGTGCAATGCATGGGTAAGAATCGTACGAACACGTAAAATAGTATGACATTTGCTATAGAAACCAAAACAGAGCAAACCAAAGCAAAGCAAAACATAACGAACAAACAAATAAACAAACATACAAACAAACATAACGGCAGACATGAAGCATCACAAGGTTAGACTTGAAGAAAAATTCTAGAAGTTGTCAATGAAAGGTGGAAAGCCTTTGTCGAACGAAACAAATTGAGTCAGTGACATGCACATTAAGTGTGAAAAGAAATGCTCACCCCATTTTTTGCAGCACACATAACAATGTTTGGCCAAATTTCACTTTCCATCAATACAACTGCAGTTGGACTCCAGTAACAGAGAAAGGCATCAATGACTTGAGGAATGTCAAGTGGACAAAACTGATTTGTGTGGAAAATATTAGCTAGTCAGATAAAATTCAATTTCACTACTTACTCAAGGAAGACAGTCCGGAAGCAATGAGGCATACTAAATTAAAGACAAAGTGTAATTTGGACAGAAAGGTTTACACCATTTTAGTTCAAGGACATACTTCGGTATTACCTTGGATGTAAATAGCACCATACTATAGTTTGGTAAATTAATATTCGATCAACATTAGGAATTTGAGCAGCAAAAAATTTCCAAGGCGTATTATCTTGAAAGAAAAAAGAAATAAAATTATCAATACCTGATATATAACATTGCTTGGAAGCAGGTTCTTTATTACTTCACTGCCAACAGTAAAGAAATTAAAAACACGACAACTTTATTTTTCTCGCACAGTCCAATTAAAAGATATGTCCACAAATGATGTTAATTTATTTATGACTGCAGTGATCAACTAAAGACTAACCAAACAAAGGGGAAACCATTTCAAACAATTATAATATAAATCGGCTATCTTCACAACTAGTAGCAAGCAACATAGTCTTCTGAATTCACTCCACTCTTAACTGAAATGAAATTGATAAAGTTCTCAAGTTATATACTTCTAAGTGAGACCATTAAGAGACCTCTCAAGCTATATCAATTGTGTTCTTGGAAAATGACCTTTCTTTTGCTCTGATTGGTACTGATGGCAATTTACTCTGGTACCCTTGGAGCATTATTGTATTCTGCTAAAAGTATGCGTGGTCGATCCAAGGCATGGTAGATTACCCTACTTAAATCCCAGAATCTTTAGCCTATTCTGCTCATATATGAAGTTTCATGTATTTCATTAGAAAGAAAACTGACATCTAACCTTACCAATTACGAAGTACTCCCTCCGTCCCATAAAATAGTTCTCACTTTCCTTTCTAGGTTGTCCCAAAAAATAGTTCCCACGTTCCTTTTTGGAAAATTTTGTGTGGCTACAATTCATTTACCTTTTCTTAATGCACTACAACCATACATTTCCACTTTATTCCCACTTTCTTAAGCTCCGATCCAAATCAAAGTGGGAACTATTTTATGGGACAGAGAGTATTGTATATCTTAAATCATGAAAAAGATCTACCACTTAAAAAAATTATGCCATATTTTAATGTGAAAGGAGTCAGGACCAACACTACATGATCTATATACATAAGAAAATGCAAAATGCAAATTCAAATTCAGTCTCACAATGCTGATGTTGTAGTTGTTGTCATTAGAACAGTTACATCCGGCCTCCTCTCAATACAGCATTTGATCACTGAAATTGCGGCCAGTCCCTCCCCTATTTTCAAAAACAGTGGGAAAAACAATGACAATATGGACAACCAACCTCATTAGTCAGAACATACAAATATCAATAGTTCAGACAGGAGAAACTAAATCATACTCTAAAATTCATTCAGTAGTTCATTTTTTTCATTCTTAAACATTACTGCATTACAGAGATACGGATGATAATGGAGCGATCTCAGCTTAGATTTTGAATGATTTTTAAGTTGTATTTAGGAATTAAGTTTTCCTCTCATCTTTCAGTTTAGATATTCGTGTGTTCCTGGAGGCAGGTATTCAATCTAACTCCGCCAGTGGGGGGTGTTTCAAAATGAGAGACTCGCCTAGCGAAACGGCATGGAACCAGACGAGGGGGCCGGGGGGGCGAGGGAGAGAAGGACGGCCAAGACGCTCGCGCCACCGGGTGGGATGCTCGAGGCCGCGGCGTTTGCGCCACCGTAGATGAAGGTATAAGAGCGGCGAGATGCCGTACGTCAGGGCTCTATAAATCCCATACAAGATTTCACCACGTTCCCTCGCCATTCACAAGCTCAGAGTGCTACACTCCTAATTAGGTGACGACTGAGCTCAAGCCCAGACCAGGGTGCATCTTTGCTCACTTTTGAAAAGAGTAAATTATGTAGGAGTAAAATGCAATAAAAATGCAATTCAAGTACGGATGTGAATTGCACCCCTTAAAAAAGGTAAATTATACCGTGAAATCAGTGTATCATGCGCATGTTATACCGATCTCATATACGGTACTGTTTTTTAAAATAATTCGGTCATCTGCTCATTGGCACACTCTGTCTCCCCCACCTTCCTTACTTTTTGTCTTTTTCATTTTTTAGTTGTTGGCTCTTTCTAGTGCACTCCCCATCCTCTATCTATTTTCCTTTTTCATTTTTTACTCTTAATTTTTTCCTTTTCCTTTTTTACTTTTATTTTTTTTATTGTGGAAGGCTATCATATTTTCAAATGATATTCTTTAAAAATTAGTACCACTGGACCTATGTACTTCGTATTTCAATTTTGTGATTTAATTTTCATCCTTTCAAAAAACATCAATTATTTTTTCTTTCTATCTTAATCCTTATTCATGCACCTTTTGTTCTCTTTTTTTCTTCAACTGAAATTACAACCAAAAAATTATTATTTTTTCTTCAAAATAATTTTTTTATATACTTTTTGTAATATTTTTTTCATATTCGTACACTTTTTCCTATAGTATATTTCTTCTCTCTTTTATATGCATTTAGTACTTTTAAGATACTAAATTTGGTTATTTTGATTTACATTTAGTAAAATATGAGATTACAGTTTCATATGTGTGATTTACATTCCACATGTTTGAGTCTTTTTATAGGCAATATCTGGAATTACATTTAATAGTATATGATGGAGTATATGGCTCGGGAACCCCCGGCCCACAGACTCCTACTACTCCAGCAAAGGCCCAACAGGCCCAGAAGGCTCAACAGGCCCAAATCACAGCGCCCAGAGTACCAAGCAGCCCGCACTACGCGCCAGGGGTGCCTTCGGCCCCCTGGCCGAAGGCTCTAAACTCTTACAGAACGGGGTTCTCAAGCAAACTAAGAAACTGGGAGAAAACGGCAAAAACAGTAGCCCTCGGCACCCGTAGCCCTCGGCACCAGGGGGCCATCGGTTTGAGGAGCCCTCGACTGCTGCCCTATAGCCGAAGGCACCTCTCCCGACATGATATCCGCCTCACATGCGTACAGATCACCGTACCCTGTACAGACGTCCCATCCAACAGCCGCATTAAATGCGGCCACATGCGGCTGCCTACGCCAACCAGTTGAAGTGACCCCTCGGCCAATGGGTGCTTGACACGTGTCCCTGTCCGGCATTTATTGCTACTATAAATAGCACCCCATTTCCCCATTTGTAACCACGACATTCAGACTGAATACACTCTCTCTCTTACTTACTTTTGCTCTGACTTCTCTCTAAGTTATTCCCAGCAATAACCCCTCGGATATATACCCCCCGGGTAGACTATCCATCATTTGGTGCTCTCGTTGAGAGGTTGAACAATCAAGTAAGAAACCCTCCCCCTTCGCCAAACACTAGCCCTCTACCAAAAATGGTGAGAACAACACGTGCCAACTCCAAAAACGTAGAAGACAAGAACCTGGCCCTCGGTGACGTCAACGCCCCCGAAGCCTCTCACAGGGCTCCCGAGGGCGGTGTCATCGCTGGGCTGGAACAGGCGGCTGTCGACCTACGCCTTCAGATCCAACAGAATGCCCCCGATGCCCTCCTCGGCATCGAGGCCAAGAAGAAGAACCGGAGCGATGACCAAGTCAGCCCTCCGGTTCTCACCATCGACGTGCAATCGGCGCTCTCCGCCTTCATCCAAACGCTCACTCAGAACCCGGGTGCCTTCGGCACCCTGACTCAGGCTCAACCCCAGGTTGGGGAGAACATCATACTTCCCCCTCTGCCACACCCCTTCGGCAACCCCCTCCCTCGGGTTAGGAATGACGAAGGGGTAGTGGCCCAAGATACGTCCTCCCAGGAAGTTCAGTCCCGGGACCGCCACCATGACGACGGAGAAAGGCCCCGCACTTCCGCCCTCAACCGGCTCGGAGGAGGGCCAGACCGCCGAGGGGTCCAAGACCGCCTCGGAGGGAAAGCACTCCAAAGGCCCCAGGAAAGCGGAGGGTCTGTCTCGAGGGCAGACGAGGAGCGTCCCCCTCGGAACAAAGGCAAGGCACCCCTTCATGCCAATGATGCTCGCCACCAGATCAACCAGACCCACTCGGCCCGGGTTCGTTCGCAGGGGGCGGAGACCCTCCCGAAGGATCCCCGGGACGAGATTATTGCGGCCCTCCAACGTCGGCTTGACGAAATGGAGTCCAACAAAGCTCATGCCACCACCTCCACCCCTCACTCAGACCTCAAATACGAGGCCATGATGGCCAAAATGGAGGAATTACAGAAGAAGGTGGCCGAGGGCTCCGAAGAACCCGTCATCCAGCTCCGGACTCGGACGCCATTTACCCCAAGGGTATTGGCGGCCCGGATCCCGGAAAAATACCGAGGGCAACACATACAGCCCTACAACGGGAAAACGGACCCCCAGGAACACTACAGCAAATACCAGAACAGCATGATGATGGTAGGGGCGTCAGACGAATATTTGTGTCGTTGGTTCCTCTCCACCTTAGAGGGGCCGGCATACGAATGGTTCAACAGGCTGCCCGAGGGCTGCATTGATTCATGGCAAGAACTCGCCCAGTGATTCTTGACACAATTTGCCGGGAGGCGTCGCACAAGGAAGCACTTCTCCCACCTCCTAACAATACGCCAAAAGAGGGATGAGACCCTTCGGGACTTCCTGGAGCGCTGGAGGACGGAAGCCGACAAAGTCGACGGTGCTGATGACGGGACCCTCCTGGCCCTCCTACAAACCGTCCTCCGCACCGGCAACTTTTCAAGGAGCCTCATCATTGAACCCCCCACCCCCCCCCCCACCCCCCGCGCGACTACATAAGGGCTTTGCAGCGGGGGGACCGATATGCTGAGGCCGAGGAGGTGGAAAAATATCACCAGCATCCGGATCAGCAGCCCCCGAGGGCTGACAACAAAAACAACTGAGGGTCGGGGGCTCCTCCGAATCACCCCAAACCTTCAGGACCCTCTGATGACCGCCCTCGGCAAGGCCAAGCCAAGCCCGGGGGAGGTTATAAGAGCAACCCTAAGACTTGGGCACAGCCCATTCTCCTGGACCGCCCCCGGACGCCATTGACGCACCCCGTCAGCATCATCTTTGATTTTGCCGAGGAAAGGGGCCTCGTTGAGCGCGATTCCCGCGCACCCCCGGAGGTACATGCTATCAACCCTCAGTTCCCATACTGTCGCTTCCATCGGCACCAGGGGCACAGAACCGATGACTGCCATCAGCTAAAGACGGCCATCGAGAGGTTGATAGAAGCGGGGCACCTGTCCCAATTCGTTCAGAGCCCTCGGCAGGAGGGGCCTTCTCATCAGGGACCTCCCCGAGGGCACCACACGAAGGTAAACGCTTGGGTAAACCCGAACACCATCCCCCTCGGCAAGAAGAGGGAGATCGGAAACTTGGAAGAAGAGGAGGAGGAGTACCCCCACTACCAGGAGAAAAAACGCCACATCCTCATGATCACCGGTGGCAATACAGGGGGCGATTCTACCGGCCAGCGAAAGAAGTGGGCTCAATCGCTTTACGTGGGGGAAGTCACTCATATGCCCCCGGTAAAGCGACTGAGGGAGGAACCCATCACCTTCACCAACGCAGATCTCCCTCCTACTCCTTCTCCTCACAGGGATGCCTTGGTGATTCGGACTGAAATAAACGACACCATCATTCACTGAACTTACATTGACACGAGCAGCTCCGTCAATGTAATGTACCTCAGCACCTTCAGAGAGCTGCATCTGGAGTGGGGGTCCCTTCGGCCCATTAAGACCCCTCTTGCCGGCTTCACCGGCGACACTATTGATTCCGAGGGGGTAATAACCCTCCCGGTGATCTTCGGCGACGGGCTCCATAGGGCCCAGCTCGAAGTGGAGTTCGTCGTCGTTAACATCGACTGCGCCCACAACATTATCCTCGGCCGGCCGGCCCTGGAGGACCTCGAGGCCATCATCTCCATGAGGCACCTCTGCCTCAAGTTCCCCGCCGAGGGGGGCATTGGCTACTCCCGGGGGAATCAGAAATTCGCCCGCGTCTGCTATCTTCAAGTCACTAAGAAGGTAAGTAAGACAGAATTCCGTGTTGACACCATCACCGGAACCATCGACCAAGAAGAAGAAAGGCCGAGGGCTGAACCGGCCGAGGACGTAGAAGACTTTGCGCTCGATCCGGCCCAGCCGGAGAGAGTCGTGAAGATTGGAGCCCAGCTCCCTGAAGATCTGAAGACCGGTATCACCGACGCCCTCCGCGCCTACTCCACTGTCTTTGCATGGGGGCCGGAGGACATGCCGGGAATTAGCCGAAGGGTCATCACCCACCGCCTCTCGGTGGACCCCTCGGCAAAAGCAGTGCAACAACGAAGAAGACCCCTCTCCGCCGAGAGGAGGGAATTTGTGAAGAAGGAGGTCGCCATGCTCCTCTCCATTAGGCACATCAAGGAGGTGAAATATCCCTCATGGCTAGCAAATGTAGTCCTCGCACAGAAGCCCCCTACCTTCCGCATGTGCGTGGACTACACCGATCTCAACAAAGCGTGCCCTATGGATCCATTCCTTCTACCAAATATTGATCAACTGGTGGATGAGACCGCAGGGTGTGAGATCATGTCCTTCCTCGATGCCTTCCGAGGGTATCACCAAATTTTCATGCACGAGGAAGACGCCGAAAAAACTGCCTTCATGACTCCCGAGGGCATCTTCTGCTACCTAGTAATGGCCTTCGGCCTAAAGAACTCAGGGGCCACTTACACCCGGATGGTGGCCCGGGTCTTTCAAGCCGTCCTAGGGCGCACCATGGAGGCCTATGACGACGACATGATCGTCAAGAGCAAACAATCTTCCAGCCATGCTGACGACCTCCGGGAAATCTTCGCCATCATGCAAAAGTTCAACCTTCGGCTAAACCCGAAGAAGTGCACCT